AAACAATCAGAAACAGGCTTCAGGAGGGTGGCCTGAGGGCCCGACGTCCTCTAGTGGGCCCTGTGCTCACTGCCCGGCACCGTGGAGCTCGATTGGCATTTGCCACAGTCTGCCACTTTTCACAGATGAGAGCAGGTTCACCCTGAGCACATGTGACAGACAGGTCTGGAGAAGCCGTGGAGGATGTTATGCTGCGGTTGATAATTTTCATTTCCATCAAATGATGTGGCATCCTTTTGTTCCTAACACATCACCCAGTCCATAACAGTATAAATACACAGCATGATTTTTTCCCCATTGAGATCTGATGTGTTTTCAAAGTGTTCCTTTAATTGTTTTGAGCAGTGAATAATTAAGGTTGAATAAATACTCTTCAAAAGTCCTCATACACACAAAGGCAATGGTTACAGTATATTTTATGAATACTGTATAAATTATTATGCAGTAACAATAAACAGTTTGCGGTATTTTCAGAATCAGTGGATTGGAAATTTAATTTATCTTTCGATCAATAAAGAATTTCTGAATTGAAGCTTGAGCACAAAAAATAGGCCTCACTTAAACATAAACTGTATGAGTCTCTGTGCTTGTTTTTCCCTGAAGGAAGTTACTCACAACAGGTAGCTAGAAATGTGACTCAAGTAATAGCAGTGATACCTAATTTTATTTTTGCTTTAGTAAAAAGGACAATGAAGTAAAATAACCCAGAAAGTTATTTTTGTTTGTTTGGTTTTTGCTAAGTTATTCATAACAAATATAGAAAGAACGTGATTCTGATGAATACCAAGCATGGAGACAGAAAGCAAACAAACATTTCTTTTGAGATAGATGAAAAAGCAACTGCTGAAATACCGAGGGAGTAAAGGAAAAAATGCTAGGCAGCTGGAACTGGAATCAAAGGTATAAGGCTTGAGAGTTTTTATCTTCATCTGGAAAGAGTTCATTTCCAAACATAATGATATCCTGACCGGGGGTGAGGTGGTGATGCAGGCATATAGTGAACATCCAATGTGTGGAGGCCTGAGACCTCAATGAAACCATCCCTGGCTTTAATTACAACCCAGAGATCTGAGTTGCATGGATTCCCCTTCTTTCCACTAAAGTGCCACAATTCTTGGAAAAAAAAAATAGCCTGACCATCTTCGGCTTAAAGCTCATTATAAGAACTTTCCAATAAGCTTGTGGTGAAATGACATCTTTCTTCCACAGGGGGAAGAATTATGATCTCACTTCGTAAAAAAGGCTAAATCCTTAAGCTTTGTGCAAAATTGTAACCCAGCTGTTTTGTTTAAAAGCAAAATTCTTGTTAGCAACAGTGTAATGTATAATATATATATTTTCATATTCATACATTCATATGATCATTTGGATCAAATAGATAGTTTGTATTATTCTACCTGCTAAAGCATAACCTCCAGGATTCAATGATATCCACAGAGTCTCTCCACCAGAGGACATGTAGGCAACTCCTTCACCAAGCAAACGGCCAACGGCTGCCCCTGTGGAAGTACAGAATGCTCTATGAATTTTTACATTGGGTTTAAATATAGCATTCAAAGGCTATTGGTTTTCAAATATGCCAAGGATTTCAAAAGCATATTTCAAAGGAACTCTGAAACAAACACTACAATAAGTTTTAAAACTAACTATATTTACATTGTTTTTTATGCCTTCTAGAAGTGGCGAAATAAGCCCATACTTATCCTCATGTAGAACAAAAACAGTTTTAGCTGTGTGGAAATATTTCTTGTTCCAAAAAGAGGGAAATATGTGGATTTTTTTACAACCTCTGTGTTTCCCCATAATGAAAAGAGTGGCAGAATGCTTAATTATTATGTGCAATAAGCAGATAAATCATAATTAGCAGTTTAAACTTATTTTACATGTCAAAATCATATATTTTATGTAAATGTAAAGATACTGGTAAAATTATATTTGATTTGTGAAAATCTCAAAATGGGCTCAAAGAGATTCGCAAATATTCACGAGGATCCTGTATGGAGAAAAAGATATTCCCATATTATTAAAAGGAAAAAACAGGTTTGAAAAAGAGAAAATGCTTCTTCAATAAAATAATTTCAATTTAAGATTAATTTTCAAAGCATATGCAAAAGTTCAACCAATATTTGTATCGTTTGCAATTTCTTTTGGATTGTATTTTTTCCATTTTTTTTTTAGTTCTTTGAATATTCATTTAGATTTTATTTTACCACACTATATTTTATTATTTCTTTCATAATAAGTTTTTCCATATTTTTGGAGAGAAATAAGTCTGATCTGCTCTTTCATTCTGGGTAAAATATCAAAAAAGTAAAAAAAATAAAATAAAAAAAATAAACGACGTATTATTTGAAAAAAATTATAAAAAAAAAAAATCTGAGTAAACAGCAAACTAAAAATGTTGGCTGGACTTTTTGATGTAGAATTTTTTAAAGTTCCTTTTTTAAAATGCATTTTCTTTCAATTTCCTTTTTTGAACCACGTAATTTGCTTTTAATAATGTTGGAACAAATATCTCTCCATAATCCTGTCTCCTTCTCTTGTTTAAGTTATGTCTCGTTACTCACCGATGACAAACACAGGCATGAAGTATCCGGCTGGCAGAGGCAGCGTGCAGGCCAGGACCAACATCCACATCTCAGAATCAACAACAGAGGAACAGACGGTTAAATCCTCCCAGCTCTGCTGACACCTGCACCGACCATGAGTCACTACCAGCTTGTGTGCTTGCACCACTCAGTTTTACACTCATAAATACTGAATCAATACTATTTCCATTTTGCATTTGGAAACAGAGTTAAAAAGAAAACTAGAGTAAACCATTCCTGAACAAATTGCACTCAAGTTTGTGCTGAACCCATGATGACCACCAGCCTGTTTAAAATGAATAAAAATCAAATCTACATTCAAACCACCTGTAATTTACCTCTTTGAGCAGGGTTGTTATGCCACCAGCTTGCAAAGCGTTAAGATTTCAACGTCAAAAGATTCAATAACATTATCCCTTACATCGAAAGACTCTGTTTTAACATTATGTGTCACAAAACATTTCAGTCTGAAAGGTTAAACTGGCTTTTGTTCGCTGCTCTCATTGTGAAAATGTTAATGCTTTTAAACCTTTGAGGAGTTAGAAAGCTGACAGAACAGATTCAGTAAATGACCTTTAGATTATGTGTACCTTCATGAGCAGAAAGAAAGCCAAAGACAGGAAAATGGGGGTGCCTGATGAGCTCCACTCCAGCGACGCCAGCAGCACAGATGCATTATGGGACTGAGAGCTCCATTGTCTGCTTTCCAGAAGGGAAGTGAGGAGCTGCTTTGTGGTGTACTGATACACAGATATGTGACATTTATGTTACTGTTTGGTCACAAGGAAAGCTGCTGTGAAACAAACAAACACTTAAGATGGTACCTTAACTACCCTGAGTTACCACATCTCAAATAATTCACACATTGATACATAAAATATCTATTTAAACTTGAAACATGCCCTCTAAGAATGAATTGTTTGGAAAAACAACTAATCAATTTGGTTAAAACAATTTTTTTAGAATACCAATATATTGTTCAGAAGCTCACCAAGCCTTTAGTTTTGGATCAACCAATTTAATGGATTAACCAAAAAGCCAATAAAAATGGTAACTGATGGTTTGCTGCTTTGACTGTTTGGCTGTAGTCAAATGTAGCATGGAATATTTATGGATGTAGTGGCGACAGTGGCGTCGGAAAAACGGCTTTCAGTTTCATTAAACAAAATAAGCAATATTTTGGTAGAGTGGCCAATTTGTATTGGTTTTCCATTTTACCATTGTTGATTTGTTGTTTCATCCCAAAGATTAGATGGACACATATCTACCTGTACCAACCAGATTGGTGAAATTCAACCAATTATTTGGCTTTATTGAACAATCAGTTTTCAGGGTGCAGTTTTCAAATGTGTTACAAATGAGAAATGTGGCATGCAACCTTTACTCTAATACCCCTACATAAAATCACAGAATTATCATCAGAATTTACCTATTAGGTCAATAGGGTCTGCGTGTCTGCATTTTAACCTCTGGGTAAATCCAGCCGAACAACATCATGAAGATCAAATAACAAAGCAGAAAGGTCAGGGAGAAAGTTGGGCAGAGGTTTGAAGCAGGGTTAAGTTATGAAATAATATTGCAGCTGTGCTCAGATACAGGTGTTTCTTTAAAGTGACAGGAGGAACAATGAATCATGGGGTGCTGCAGACATCCACACAGTTTAGAGAATCTGCTGACTTGACAAGTATTAAATGGACATCCATAATTATGGCCTAACAGAAGAGCAGTAGCAAAACATCAAGGCATCCAGTTGTGGATGAAGAAGAATGTGTTTAAAGCAGCTGGTTAGAGTTAATTGGGAAATAAAAGGAGTTGAAAGTAGGCCACAATGGAGGAAGATTCGATGGAGCATTTATTTCATGGATGACCAGCTGATGAAGGAGTTTGGTTAAAGCATATTCATTTCTAATAAATTCATTAGCAATGTCCGAACGTCCGCTCTAACCCCTATATACAGTACTAGCCATTTTATATGAGTGTCTGAATTTCTAGTGCATGAAAAAGTCAGCAACTCAAGATTTCCCACGATACACCTTGAGAAGTAGTGTGCAAGCATTGGTCAGTACATGAGCAGATATATACCAGAATGCTTTGCAAGAGCTATCCTCGCAAAGCATCATGGGATTTGTTTTAGGAGCAAGAGAGAACAGAGAGCAGGCGATGTGCAGAGAGCCGGAAACATGTGAAAATAATAAGTAGTGATCATCTGTCCGAACTGTCAGTTAACAGAGTTAAAGGGCTCTAGTGACTAAAGGGTTAATGGTTAGGGCGGATGTTGGGACAGCCATTGAGAAGAAGATTTGAAGATCATTGCTCATGGAAGTCTATGGTTTTAAAAAATCTGTCTCTTGGAGAAAAAAGTTGGTAAGAAAATACCCCAAAAGAATTTAACAGGAATAAATGGTGGGTTAATAAAATACTGTTTTAGGGAGCTGAATAAATATATACTCCTTATTTTTATAATTTGTTTGCTTTGAAAGAAATTTTTATATTTATTTTTTGTATTCTTCTTTAAATATAGTATAATAAAAGAACGTCCCATCTTTAACAGGTTCTATCACTTGATATTGTAATGGGAAATTGTATTTTAACACTCTTATTTATGCTCAGCAAAATGCCTGCTAGACAAGGCTAGATGTGAGTTTTATGTGAGTTTTATCTTCCACGCCTCAAAAGCTGTTTTTTTAGTTTTGTAAAAGGCCGGACCCCTTTAGTCTCAATATTATTTAAAAAATTCTCCTGTTTGGGAAAAAAAAACTGTCTAATTAATCTGGTTGAATCCATCCTGTGCTTCTAAAGTAGTTAGTGAAATCCTCTGTGACCAGAAGAGGCAGAAAAAATGGACAGACTTTATGTTCTCAAGGATTAACAAACATCGCTTGAATGAAGAGCACCCATCTCATTTACTTGGTAAGACTTTAACTTTTTTTCCCAATAAAAATATGAACCAAAATCAGAAACCAAATCAACTAAAAGTGAATTAGGTTTTGATAACAAGGAATAACATAGTAAACAATGGATTAGGGTTATTGATTGCGTAGCTTTTAAACGCTTTGAATCCCACCTTAGAAGCCATGTATTGACCGGCCGACAGAGGAAACGTCAGCGATGCCAGAAAGAAAACAATAAGACCCGAGTACAGACCCTTCCTGCAGAGAGATTTTTACACAACACAAGCATTTCAGTTCTTCTTTAAAAACAGCAAATATGAATCAACAGTTTTGCTTTGTGTGTTCCAGAAAAAAAGTGAGTAAATAAAAAAATTGATCTGTAGAATAATGGAACCGAAGGCCCCACCGTCTGCCTGTCAGAACGTAAAGAAGTCTCACTCTGTTGTCAGCATCTGACAGAAGAACCGGTTGGTTTTGGTGAACCTAAGGATCCACCTGTGGCTGATGAGGTAGCAGCAGCTCAGAGCTCCACACAGCAGCCTGTTTTCAGACAGTGACACAGTCCAGGATGAGAAACCAGGGACTTATTTTCACTCAGGCAGCAACAAATGATCGGAAGGCATTAGACTTGGGGAAGGGATGGGGAGGAGTCCAGGAAATTATATGATGGGAGAAATAAAAAAAAAAGGATGACTAATTAGAACAGAAGGAAAACAGAAGGCCTTATCTTAGTGTGACTTTTATGAATATAGAAAACCAAATGTCAGTTTTTATTAAGTAGCCAAAGACAAATAGAGGACTTGTTTAACTGAGCAGAAGCTGTAAAAGTAAACTAACCCCAGCAGAGCAAACAGGAGGATCTCCAGCGGGAAGAAAGGTAAAGAGGTGGAGAAATTGGTTTTATACAGCGCCTGAAGAGTCTCTGTGGAGACAAAGCAAACCGGAATCATCTGTTTCCAACAGCGAGTAAAGCGTCTAATATTCACTCTGATTATTGGGATGATACTTTAATGAAATCTAACGTTTCCCAAGGCATCTTCCCAAATCAATGATACTGCAGATGATTCATTTACTTTTAACACCAATAATTTCACACGTTAAATCATTAGATTTAACAATAATTAGCCCTTGTTTTCTGAAACAGAAGATGTCTCTGAGCTCCTTTAAAGAAATTATTAGGGATTTCTGAAGTGATATTCTGTTGAACGGTCATAAGCAGGTGATATCATGGATGATACAACTGCAGATAATTATAAACAGACAGGCAATGTGAGAATAAACAATAATATACAAACACTAAAAGAACTGACTGCAAATTAGGATGCAATCTGTGCTTTAGATAAATGATGACCTGGAAACCAGGTTTATATCAGTTTCTAATCTTCATCTTATTTGAAAGTACTCAGCCTCAGTTTTATATATCTAAGTGTGAAGAAAATAAAATTCATCCATCCATCAATCCATTTTCCTTAACGCTTATCCCAAGTGGGGTCGTGAGGGGTGCTGGTGCCTATCTCCAGCTGTCTACGGGCGAGAGGCAGGGTACGCCCTAAACAGGACGCCAGTCCATCACAGGAAAATTTAATTAATTCATTCAAATGTAATCATTCAGGAGTAATAAACACAGAACCACTGCATTAGGTGATGAAGACAAACACAATTTCTGGACCAATTTCAGAATTAATTTAGATTTTACTTTGTTCTAATATGTCAAAAAGAGAAAACTGACTGGTGATTTATTTTAAAGAGTACATGTGAGAATAACCAGGCATTACTATTACCTTAAAAGATACCCTATATAATCACTCTGCATATCAAGACTAAAACAATTAAAAATCACTTTGGAGGGCTGCTCAGTGGCGGAGTGCATAGCACTGCTGCCTTGCAGCAAGAAGGTTCTGGGTTCAATTACCTTTCTGCATGGAGTTTGCATGTTCTCCCAGAGCATGCGTGGGTTCTCTCTGGGTACTCTGGCTTCCTCCCACAGTCCAAAAACATGACTGTTAGGTTAATTAGATTCTCCTTGTGTGTGTGAATGGTTGTTTGTCCTGTTTGTCTCTATGTTGCCCTGTGATGGAGTTGTGACCTTGGGATTAAGCGGGGATGGATGGATGGATCCCTTTTGGAATTGTATTAACATTCTAGTTGTACCTGAATGCAGCATGCACCACCCTTGGGAAATCTTTTATTAAAGGAGATTTCTCCGACTTTAGGATTTGCATCAGCTCATGTGATTCAGGTTCTATGCTGTATATTTTTCAGCTACCAACCTGAATGCTACGTCCCAATATAGTTATGTTAATCTTCATTTGAAAGTTCTGATGTGTCAATAATGTTGAGTGCAGAGTGAACTACATGCCCTATAGTATTAGCCTGAATGTTAACATGAATGTACATGAATGTTCATTGATAACTAAGGCTGCTATGTTTAGGCTAGTTGTGCTACAGAAAACGTAACTGAAATCTGCATATGATTGTTCTGGATGAGTTTTTTGTTCATTGCTTTTGCATACTGAACCATCCAGGGTGTGGCAGATTTTTTGCATTACCAATTACCAATACGTCAGCCTGATGTTTATGTGTGGAACTTCTACAAAAATATATGTAGGAAGTATAAAACCTGATAAGCATGTTACAGTATTGTTAGAACAGAGAAAATGCAGAAAGACAAAAATTGCAAAATTTCAGCAGAGATATTTAATTTTCACCTTTTCTACCGTATATGTAATGCTTACCATCAGTTCAAAAGATTATAGGATGACTTTGCCATAAAATGCAGGTTATTTTTTTGTGTTTCAGTAGCAGAACAATGTAAACTCATTGCTAAACTCTTAGTTCTCAATTTATGTACTTGGTAACACAGTAGGGATGAGTTGATTTCTCCATTTAAAGGTAAGAGGAAAAGTGTTGAATAGGTTTGCTGTACCTGACTGTGTAATAGGTGAGGTTAGTTGCTGTAAAGCA